CTAACTACAACTCCCCCTCACCTCTATCATTACCGTCCAAAGCAATCACACAGTCCTTTATATCGACATCAACTCCTCAGCCTCCAGCTGTCGATCTCGGTTCTAGGACTGGAACGGCTAAACACCAGTTCCCTTCAACGCGTACACAAATTTCACATTTCAATAAGGTATGTACCAGCACCACCAAACTGCTCCGAATATGCCAAAGAAGGGCCTGTCTCCCTTTGGAGGCTCTCCAGCTTGTATAATCGGGCTTGGTGGGGTTTCTCCACGGGGGAGATGCTTCTCAGCGACTCATCGCCAGCTCATCCAACCCCTTGGCATCGGCAAGCGTTGATTTTTCCCTTTCTTTCATGCCGTGTTTCGACCAACCTTAGTGCTACATTCTTTGAGTTTTGCTAATTTTAGGAAATTCTCTTTTATCCATAACCACGTAGCACAGTCAACAATCTACATCATTCAAGCTAAACTCAACAATCAAAAGTTAAGAAATACTCACCAGACTTTTCGCTACCTACTCAACACTTAATCTGTTGCGCTGGGCATGAATTCCACCGCTTTCCGGCCTCGGGGTGGTGGGCCTTCGCGGGGCGGTATCACAAAACGCTCCACCGGTCGTGTTAGAGTTGATCGCGATGGAGATCTAGACATGGACTCCCCAGCAGGAGGCGCGCGAGGAGGGCGCGGGGGAGGTCGTGGAAGGGGAGCCTTTAGCCGAGGTGGAGGTGGAGGTTCAGTATCTGGCCCACCAAGAGGACCAGCCGCGGACCGACCTAGAGGAGGTGGTGGTGGTAGTGGGGCCATGAGGGGTAATCCAAGAAGGGACCCAGTCGGGACAAGAGCAAGGCCCGTGTACCAACCACCTGGTAGGAGACCGGGAGGGCCTCACATTAATGAAGGTCCTACGGTTGAGGTCAAAGTTGAAGGGTGGAGGGAAAGTAAGGGAGGTGCTGATGAGTGCATAAGCTTCCTTGAACGAAAAACTAAAATGACTTTTAAAAAGGTGAGACTGAAAATCCAAAAATATCTCCTTTTCTTCATTCGCCTTTTGTCATTATCCTCTGCTACATCAATTTGTGGATATATTGTTTCTTCTTCCGCCATCAATGAGGTGGTGTTTTTTTGTACTGCTACGACGCTCGCTTCTTTTGGAAGCATGAGAAGAGTTGTCGAAAATTGGGTGCATGGCCTGTGGACTTCTGGAGATTTTTATCGGTATTACCAAAGTACCTCGCATTGCGTGGCGCATCGTGGGCATACAATTTCGAATACAAATTACCCCACTTCGAAAAAAAGCTCAAACCCAAAAACGTCCAAAAAAACGTCCAAAAAGAGAAACTCGTGCGAAATAACCCGAAACAAAATGGAAAGCAGAGAAGGGCCAAAATGATCATTTCCCAAGCTTTCCAAATGCCCCTTCGTTTTCATATCACGCAGATTCTAAGTTTAGGAAGAACCATATGCTAAGGCGATACTTTTCTCGCACCATGTAGACATCAAAACAAGGGAATACTATCATTTTATATGTCCCTCTCAGCAAAATCGGAGGCATTCTCGAGTGGGATAATGTGCAATTCGCATCTTCACATTTGCGACTCACTGCGCCTAATCTCAACAATATCACCTCATCGATTGAGTCTCGAAGTAACGCGATCATTTCCCAGGCCGCGCCTAAAAGCAAGGACACAGTCGACACCATCAAAACCCTCGAGCAGGTGCTCGCGAACCGATATAACATCGAAGCCAAGATTTTGGATCTTAGTAAACTTGGCGAAGACCCGCTTCTAAAACAGAATGGGTTTTTCGAGCTTAGTTCAACGACCAGTAAGATGTTTCCTGCACTTATGCAGATCGCGGATAAGCGTTTCCAGACAGCGCAGCAGAAGCGGGATACGGTCCATAGTGTATCACTCGCCTACAACTCATTGAAAGATCTCCGCGCGGTCACTACCTTGAGTGTCACGTTCCCGGACTTGAAGAACTTGAGCCTGCAGGGGAACATGATCGAGAGCTGGCAATCTTTAGACATTTGGAGGAATAGATTTAAGAATTTAGAGCAGTTGGTGTTGATGGGTAATGGGTTAACCAGGCACCCGGATTATAAGCAAGAGGCTATGAGGAGGTTTCCCGCACTTGTCATGTTGGACAATGTTCCCCTAGACCGGCCAGCGATTAAAATTGGCGATGAAACTCGTCGGGGCGCAGGTTCGGGGGTCAGCGGAATGTCTGGAGCAGTGGATGAGGGGGGAAGGCCTGTAATGCCATTAAAGACCAAGGGAAAGTTTATCCAAGATGACCATGGCGTCGCCATGGGATTCCTTTCAACGTATGTATACCTTAGATACGCACTCCACGTCGCTAGAGACTAATCCAACGAACCGCAGATTCTTTGCAACTTATGACAACGATAAGAACACAGTTCTATCGCAATTTTACGACTCGGCGTCCACCTTCTCAATGTCTGTCAACACCTCCGCCCCCCGTGTAGAATCCCAGCAGAACACACGTCAATGGTGGGACCCCTGGATTCCAATCTCCCGCAACCTTAAGCGAAACCACTCTTCTGGTTTTATGAGCGCGCGTGTTTTCACCGGCCCGGACGCAATTGGACATATTTGGGGCGAAATCCCATCTTTTCGCCATAATCTTGGAAACGAAGAGTTGTGGAGTTTTGACGTATGGCCAATCGAAGTATTGGGCGCTGGCGGGATAATGGTTGGAGGAATCATGTGCTGCGTTCATGGCGAGTTCGAAGAGTCGAATGGTGACAAAATCATGAAGAGGAGTTTCGATAGAACCTTCATCTTAAGACCAGATGCGAACGGGGCTGTAAAGGTTGGGAATGATATTCTTGTTGTTAGATCATATGGTGGTTTCGAATCCTGGAAAGAAGAACCTGAAGCACCGGTACCAGTTCAGGCGCCAATGGCTGCGCCTGTCGGAATGCCAATGGCCGCGCCTGTCGGGATGCCAATGGCTGCGCCTGTAGGTATGGTTCAAGATCCGAACATGCCGCAGGGGCAAGCGGCGGTAGCACAGACGGAACAGCAACAAAACATGGCGAAATGCTTTGAGTTTGCGAGACGATCCGGGTTGAAAATGGAGTGGGCCGAGCTTTGTCTCACCGAGACTGGGTGGAATCTGGAGGAAGGATGGACAGCGTTTGTGCAGGCTAATGTATGTGCTTTCTTATTTATCCTCTTTAATATCGTTCAAAAAAACAGGCCGACTAACATGAATTTTGAAATTGATCAGGCAGCTGGAAACATTCCGCAAGACGCGTTCGACCCTAACATCGCAAGGCCATTTTAATTACCACCACCGTCAAGGGCGCCACCAAGTATCATCACCACTCCACACGCGATTGAGAATGGAAGTCTACAAGGAAGAGGTGAGGGAATGTCGTTGATTCAAAAATCTGGGCACAATTTGGCCGAGGTTGTTTTTTCTTTCTCTTGATTTCTCTTCCTTATGTTGACACTTTTCATTCTTTTTTCTTTTTTTTCAATTGGTTTTTTTTTTCTTTTTTTTCTTTCTTTTTTTCAATAGCGGAGACATTCAAACAAGGCAGGCAGTGGGAGAGGGCGGGAAAGAAGGATTTCTCTTTTTCTTTTTTTCTCCAGAGTTGGATACGGTGATCAAATGGGGGGATTTCTCTTATCATAACCACAGACAGGCTGAGACCAGCTGTCGAGAGCCGGGTCGAGGTCACATATAAATACATGTACTCCATTAACCTTTCTTTTTTACCTACTATACATATGTTCTCCGTTTCATCACTCTTTTTCTTGGTGTGGTTCGGGGGGGGGCGGGATTTTTCAATAGTTATCACTATTTTTTTTTTTTTTTTTTACTCTGTTTTTTTGGGATGCCGCGGACGCGTGTGTGTGATGAGTGGTGTGTGTGGAAGTGTGGTTCAAGTTGTATGATTAGATCTCTCTTCGTGGTGGGCGGCGGACTTTTCTGTTCTGTTTCTTGGTGCTGGGAGTGGGGGTATGCGATTCAATCAAACAAGTTGAAAACAAGATAATATGAAAGCTAGGGTCAATGATCGTTTGTGCGGTTGTGTGTGTATTTATTTGCATTTGTATGTATGAAATAGCGAAAGAGATCATTGACAGGGACTCTGTATGTTGAGAGTTCTGCGATGGGCGTTGGCTATTGGGCATGTGTGCTGTAGAACAATAACGTTTAGGTTTCTGGCCTGTTCTATCATTGACTAGGTGGTGTTACCTTACATGTATGTAATGGAGAAGTAAAATCAAGCAATCAATCATTGACAAGTAGGTGGTTATGTATCCGTGGGTACCCGGGACTGGATAGCCAGATAGAGCTAGATATAGATGGATTTACAAAGGAATATCCTCTCCAGAGCTAGAGATTGGGAAATGCACTGCATGAAAAGCAAAAGTAACTTCTTGTTACTTCCCCGATCTAGAGTCCAGCTGTAAGATGTGCCTACACGTCTTGCTACCCGCATATGGACTTTTAGCCCGCTGCATGGTATGAAGAGTATCTTTTGGTTCTTCCCCCCCAGATATTCGCTCGAATAATGAGTCATGAGTGGTAGAGTAAAGCAAAAAATTCACAAACCCACTACTCCGTTGTCTTCCAGGGTTTAGAGCTCTTCTGTAGGTACAGAGAGAGCCGGATAGCCACCGGTATTGCTATTGCAGTGAGTGAACCCACCAAGTACCACCTACCTACCTAAATCGTCAATAACCCACACTCTATCCCATACCCACTGTACCCGCCTCTCAACATGTAACCGATTCGTTCACCTCCTACGTTCACCACTTTATCACCCCAGGTTATCATGGCCTGTTACTATTAATACACCCCCTAACTAGGACTGTGTAACCCCAACGCAACCAACCATCATGCCATCACGATATGCCGAGGCCAAGTGTCTTTACTCTCTCTAGCTCCCGAGAGCTCAAACCTCAAACCTCCCACCACTCCACCAATTCCCTCCACCACCGCCAGAAAAAAAAAGAAAAATGGCGAAATTCATCCTCCCTGCCCTAGCGGTGTCAATCGGTCAGTCCCTCTCCAATTGCACCCTCAATTGGAGCTCCAAATATCTATAAATTTTTTTTACTAACTAACCACTACGTTTCCAGGCCTCCTCCAAGTCGCCGTCCCCAACCTCTCACGCACCTACACGCTCATCGGCGGGCGCCGCAACAACGCCCACTACCTTTCCCCGTCGTACACAGCCCTCCTTGACCCGCTCTGCACCCTGCAACACACCGACAAATTCCACGGCTGCGAGTCCATGCAGCTCGTCGAGCTGTCGCCCACCCGCACCGTCATCTTCACCAGCTGCCTCACGTCATACGACAACCGCCCGCGCGTGCTGTCGCAGTCGCGGGAGGCCGACGCCGCGGAAGGGAGGAGCCGGCCGGGCGATAAGATCTTCCGCTGGGACCTGGACACGGATGAAGTTGTTGAGCTTGAGCTGCGGGGGATGCCGGGCGGGGAGGGAGGCGGCGATAGGGGCTTTCATGGCATGGATGTGAACTATGGGTTGGAGGGAGGGCGGATGAGTCTGTATGTGGTGAACCACAGGTTCAATGGCACTGTGGTCGAGAAGTTTATGCACGACCCGGAGACGGACGTGCTAGAGCACGTGGCGAGCATTCCCACGGCGGAGGGAGGGCTGAAGCATCCGAATGACATCTATGCGATAAAGCATCTGGACGACATCAATGCGTTCTACATCACCGACGAGAACCGGTACAGCACGGGGCTGATGCGCTTGATTGGCGACTACACGCGCAGGCCGTGGGGCAGCGCGCACTACTACTCTGCCGAGACGGGGTGGAAGCTCGTCATGACGGGCCTCGGCGGCGGGAACGGCATCACGGGCGACAACAAGGTGGGCGGGAGGGTGTACATCTCGCCGCATCTGAGTGGCGAGATTGTGGTCACGGATCAGGACGCATCACAGCTGGGTGTGCTGAAGGAACTGCAGCGGATCCCGCTCAACTTTATGGGCGACAATCCGACGCTGAGCTCGTCGGGCGAGGATATCATCATTGCGGGATACACGGATCCGCGCAAGATGTATGAGCATGTTGCCGATCGCAGTGCTGCGGCGCCTGGATCAATCGTGGGGAGGATCAGCACGAAGCAGCTGGGGAGCGCGTTCTTCGGAGAGAAGGGCGGGTACACGAGTACGCCGGTCGTGGACGAGATGTTTGTGGACATCCAGGGAAGGTGGATCAATGCCAGCTCGACGGCGATCCTGAGGGAGAAGAAGATCCAGCCCTTGGATGAGGAGGCGGAGATTGAAGAGGACGATGAGGTGGCGAGAGGGGCGAGCGAGCTGGGAGACCTGTATGTTACCGGGTTGACCACGAGTGGTGAGTGCGCTTTCTGGCTTGTTCTATCTGCCCTTGAAACAAACAAACAAAACAAAACGCCGATGAGCTAGCTGGGAAGCTGGCGGTGGGCCGGTATGGTGGTATGGATGGCTGTCGGAGCGCACGCCGGCCCGGGCCGATATATGTTTATGGACCCCCCATCCTTGCTTGATACTTCGCCACCCCCGAATCCCCGAACACCGACTACCCCCGGGTTGTGAATCCTGCTGGTTGTGAGAAGTCCTTTACTGACCGCAATATATTATCAATAGGGATCTTGAAATGCAAAGGCATTCCTTCTTCCTAAACACAAAGTGTGGGTCGGGATGCGCATAAATCTTATGACTTTATGCGTTGGAAAAAAATAAACTAAGCCGGAATAATAGAGCTTACATGTAACTGTAGATTCATAAAAGAACTCATACGTAGCAGAATTATTTTCGCCTGATCATGATTGTAGACTCTTTCTGCCCCCCAAAATTTGATGTATGTAGTAGGTTGAGCTCTTGGATAAAAGCTCCCCGGATAAACTATGCTTCTAGAACCCATCCGTGAAACAGCTCCTTCCTGCATCAATATATGCAGTCTCGAAACAACCGGCAGTTACATACAAAGCCTTTGTACGTACATATGTGACCCTTTATCACTGGTGCAATGAACGGTCGAAGCCCAAACAATCTAGTCGTGTCCGTAGGCCACAGTCTCACGAAATGCAACTAAGTCGAGTGATATTCGATGCAACCAGTATCCCAGCCATAAACTTGACAGGATCTGACGATTACTCATGTCGCTATGACCACGTCAATGTAGCAACAATCTGCCATACCCTGGCCTGCCCTGGTCTGACCTGGTAATCATTTCTTGATTTTTTTCTTCTCTCAGCCATGGCCAGTGTGGTCGGGTTTTGCAAATACTTGACAAAGTGGGGGTGACCGCGCGGTTATTTGCTACAAGTGTAGCCGCTGGTTCATCCCAAGTTCTATTCTACGTCCATGTAGATTTTTTGAGATGTGTGGAGTTTATGTAGTTGTGAGTTGATGTTTTGTTACCTTGCTACTTCTAGTACCTAGATCGATGTGCTAGCCAACAACTCAACTCGTGAGTTGTTGCCATTCCACCAGCTACATGGTAGGTATTCTCCTATCCTTTGCAGCAGCGCAATATATTCTCGCAGTTCAAAGGGCAGTACCTAGAGAACTCTCAACAGTGGAGTATGTACATCTAAAGTACCACAACAGCCGAAAGCAGTAACACCACCGACTAGCTAGCTGGCAGGGAGCACCCATAACCATCCGTGGGAAATGCTAGCTGAAACTCAAGCCTCGGGCCTAGCGAAAGAAAGAAAGCTTTCCGTGCGGATCACTTTAGCACTCTAAGCGGAAGGGCGTCTGTGCCCAGCAATCAATCGATATGAAGACTTCGAGAAGACGCGGTGGGTGGTTGGGTTGTAGCGAGTGATGTCTCATGAGCATGCCGCATCCTTGTCGACTGCCGAGTCTGCCGAACATTATGGGAAAACAAGCACCAACGACGACGACGACGACGACGATGATAATGATGATATGGTGAGGTGGAATCATGTCCGCACTGAGTACCGCGCGCGCGAGCGAGCGTTTCACAGATAGTAGAGATCCTGTGGTTTTGAAACGTGCGACTTTCTCTCCGATAAATATTTGAAAAGGGGGGGGGGGGGGGGGTTTGCTGCGTTTTGAAACGGCACTAGAGGTAGCGAGGGCGACGCGTAACGGCTTTTTAAAATGCGGAGGGAGAAGATCTGGACATGGGTCAGCTATCAATCTGTAGGCTACATGAACAGAGAATATCCATGGAAACCCATCTAATGGTCGAGAGTGCCTCATGTACTTTCACACCTCCCATCAACCCCCTGATGTACGTACCAACAATCACGCAGAAGTGGCCCCAGGCTCCAGTACTATGTGTCCCTGGTCATTCCAGCTTCAGTGCTCCCGGGCCCCAAGAGTCGCTACTATATAGCGAAAGCTTGTCAACATATACGCGTCCTGGCAGGGATTGTAGTTGGAGGGCGGTAGGAATTTCCCGGTTATTACCCATGGCCCATTGCGGAAATTGATACTCAAAGGGACTTCTCGAGATGCTGGATAGTAGTGAAATTCACTGAATGTTGAAAAGCATATAAACCGTCCTTTCGTCCCCCATCTTCGGTTCATCAGCCAGCTCTCAATCAATTCATTCTTCCACTGCATCTTCAGCACTCTTTCTCTTCTCTTTAATACATTCATTCTAGTAAGTACTTGAATGCACACATCTTGCTATCAATTCATTGGGGATTTTCAATACTAACCTCCTCATAGAGACTGTGCTAGTTCACGTCCACTCACTCAACTCATTCAACACATTCAAAGTCTTCAAAATCAAAACCACCACATTCAAAATGCAGTTCCTTAACCTCGCCGTCGCCACTGCCGTTCTTGCTGCCCTTGCTGGCGCCGCTCCCCTTCCTCAGGACGAAGCCCCCACCGGCACCTTCTCAGGAATGCCTTCCGGCGTTGCCCCCACTGGCAGCTTCCCATCAGGAGCTGCTCCATCCGGCGGAATGGGAGGCGGTATGGGCGGTGGCCCACAACCATCAGGTGCCATGCCCTCTGGCGCTATGCCATCCGGTGCCGCTCCTTCGGGCGGTATGGGCGGTGGTATGGGAGGCGGAATGGGCGGTGGCCCAAGACCATCAGGTGCCATGCCCTCCGGTGCTATGCCCTCTGGTGCTGCTCCCTCAGGTGGAATGGGCGGTGTCTTCCCCTCTGACGGTGCCATCCCCACTGGTGGAGCCGGTGCCGCACCCACTGGTACTGGTGTCGCCGCTGGAATCGCCGCTGTCTCTGGGACTGATGTTGCCTTCCCTACTGCCTTCCCAACTGAGGTTCCTAGTGGCTTCCCTACGGCCTTCCCAAGCGGTTTCTTGACTGCTTTCCCAACTGGGGTCTTCCCTGCCTCTGGTTCTGCGGCCCCTACTGGTGGTGCTGGCTTCGGCGGTCACCAAGGTCACGGTCACCACAGTGGAATGCCCTCTGGTGCTATGCCCTCTGGTGCTATGCCCTCTGGTGCCGCTCCTTCAGGTGGTGCTTTCCCATCCGGCGGTGCTTTCCCATCAGGCGGTGATGCGTTCCCCTCTGGTGCCATGCCAACCGGCGCTGCTCCTTCAGGCGCTATGCCTTCCGGTGCTGCTCCTTCTGGCACCGTCTAAAGAGCCCACGATATCTTATCTCAATGGTATGTAATTCAACCCCTAAAATCCACTATCATATTTCTAACGGCTCTTCTACAGATCTGTACGCATAACTAGAGGATCGTTCTTTTTAGCGGGCGGAGGGCATTTATTTGTGAAATGGACTTTTTTCTTTCTTTTCTTTTCTCTCTTTCTTTCTTTGTAAAAGTGCAGTGGAAGATTGGCTGGGCCTCTCGGTTACGGTTGTATATTTTCCTTGGTTCATGTATAACAGGTTGGCTTTACTGGCTGGCGAAAAATTGAGATCTTTTCTCGAAAATTGTGCTCCGGGCTTTTTGCCATCGTGATGTTTGTGATCCTGCTATGATGCTAAATGAGTGCCTGTAATGGCCCAAGCCGGTCCTGGTTCCAGTAAAAGTTCCACCCGGAATATACGCATAAGACTGATGAAAAGAGAGTATCTCTTGATAAATAACATAAAGAGGCTGTAACTGTAGAAGATAACACTTGTTAGATGATAATATATTGATACTCTGAGGAAGCCTCCTCTGTAATTTTCTCTCGGGCTTCATGGTTAGAGTACCGCTCCAGTGTGGTGGTTATGGGCTATAAAACTCCAAGAGATTAATATGGATGAAGTAACTCGGGAGGTTGATTCTTTGTTACCTGTATTAATGATGAGAGAAGAGAGAGTAGTCCTCTCTTCTCGGCTTAAGTACAGAGTCTCTCTAATGACAACTAAGCTAACGTGTTCTCTAACCACGTATGACGTTTAGAGTAGTAATTACATGTATGGGATTACCACAATTGAAGGCGGTCTCACATCCCGAAAAATAGGAAATATTGTATTGAATGCATGTAATCTGATCATGAAGAGAACATAAGAACACATACACTGTAGAACATGGGAGCTACCAGATGTTGATAGAAGAGACAAGTAACAAAGAGTACGAAAAGACAACAACTTGTAGTACAATTAGGCTTTGCGGCAAACCCTTTTCACAGACGATCACTCGTTCGTAAGCGCCACTGAACCTAACAAGGTTACCACTGTTTCTTCTTGGCGACCACTCCGAGTGATTGGTGATGGCTTAAAGCTTTCAAGACGGATTTCTCGGCACGGTTTACTGGGCCGAGCTATTTGCCTATCTGCGAAGATTGCGATGCCGGCTACATTTATCTACATGTATGCATGCAGTCTTTGTCTTTCTTCGCGGCTTTCCTCGGGCGGCAATAGTGAGATAGACAAGTGACATTCCCTAGAATGAGTACTCACACTGCTGCACAGCGTCTTAATAAATCCGGGTAGAGAACTCTCATCATCATCGCAGTTGACGATAAACAGGTTTTTACACATACATGCAGGTTGCATGTCATCTGGGGCTTTTATCCAAATTCCTCCTCGCGCAGTAAAAAGATTTTCTCATTGGCGTCGTCTGAGTTGTCAGTGCGGTGATTGGCCCCTGTAATCTAGTGGAGCAAAGGGCTTGGCGTAAATTGTTAAGAGGCCGGCCTAACAATATTATGTAGTGTAATCCAGAAGGATATCAATCAATGGCTTGTCGGATAGACGACTTCCCTAGCCACCCGAACACCCCCCTCACCCGAACAGTTGAATATGATTGGTGTAGAAACCGGTTGCAACGAAGATCCTTTCTTTTTGATGTTGAGTATTCGGGTGAGGGGGGTGTTCGGGTGGCTAGGGAAGTCGTCTATCTGTTTTCGTATATTTGGCATGCCTTATCTTCGAGCCCATCGGTGTATTAAATCACTCCCTAAAGGAGTGATTGTGGAATTAACCGTTTGACTTTAATGGTAGATTGAGAATTACTCCATAACCATTTCTAGTTCATGATATCAAATATCTAGACGATTCAAACATTTCATAGTAATAGTACTTTCAGTCGCGTTGACGCGTGATCACATTATCCAAGGGTTTACGATAAATACAACGCCAACACCCTTACGGACGAATCTTAGACAGGGATACAAGTCTTGCCGTCACAGTCTCCACCTGGCATCCACGTACCATAACAACCACCGTCATCCCAGGCCCAAGGACGGACACGACTTTGCCTCAACTCACCACCGACAACAAGAGGGTCACAAACATGGCAGACTCTATGATAGATTCAAACACCCGCTCGATCGCCATATTTGGCTCGTATTTCGGCCTCTGTTTCGGCCTCCTTTCCCTCATTCTCTCACGACTGAATTTCCGAAACTTCTCGAAAGTCTCGGGATCCTATGTGTTCACTTCACTCGCCGTTGCGTCCTTGGGGTCGACGTGGTATTATATGGTGTCTTTCTTTATGAAGTCCTACGAAGAATGGCAGGCGACGCAGGTACTCATGCTCAGCGATGATGGCGAACTCCGGTTGGGCGAGTGGTTGAGCGATGTGAAGCTGTTCCAAGATGCGTGGGGTGAAGTAGTAGAGAACCCTCAAAGGTGGTGGTGGAGCCAGCAGATTTTTCTCGCAACCGCTGCGTGGAGTGTATTCTTGGCTGCTGAAGGTCCGTAGCCCTCTCCTCTCTTTGTAAAAAAGAAATTAAAACTCACACTTTATCCAGGCTCTCGTCGCGGTATTAAGAACCTCTGGTCGTTTATGCTCCTTGGCCAAGTCGTTTCAGTCTCATTCGCATCAAACCTTTTCTTCCTTACCATCCTCCTCAATGAGCCCACTCCTTCTGCCCCTGTCGAGGCACCCAAGCTCGACCCTTCAACAGTCAAGGCGAAGAGACTCCCTAGCTGGCTGTACTTCACTGTCACAGTCCCATTGGCTCTCTCATACCTCTGTGTCTACATGACTCCCAAAACCTTTGACTCCAATGCGTTCCTCCCCTTCCTCCTCGTCCCGCATGTTCTTCTGCTCGCAATCCCAGTTGTCTTTGAACGCCTTGCATCAAGCGGCGAGTTAGCAATCCACATCCCCGCAAACCGATGGAAGAGCTTCTGGAAGCCACAGTACCGCCTTTGTTCGCTGGTATCTCTTGCGTGCCACGCAAACGCGATCTCACAAGTCACTGCTCATGGCATGACAGTCAAGGATGTTGTCGTTGGTACGCTTTCGGCATTGTATGAGCACCCAGCGGTGTCTTCAGTTGGATGGGATGTCATCATGATGACTGTAAGTGTCGGCGCCTGGGTTGGCGTCAGGGGAATTGATTTTTCGGTCAGTCCCGATGCGAAGAGAAAGGGGGGCGATTGGATTAATGCGACTGCCGCGTGGATTTACATGGTTCTGGGATCGGCGGGACTGGGAGCCGTCGCTTTTGCAGGAGAGTTGGAGGAGTAGTGTGGTGGAATACATTTTGGATGTAGAATGGATGGAGGAAAAATTGTAGTGTCATTGAAATACAAGAGAATAAAAAGTAGCGTTTGTCAGGTCCAACATAATAGATAGTAAAACAGCGGTGATGCTTAAGTGGTAGTGGGATTTTTTTCTTTATGGTGCGGAATATGGGAACATGTAATAATGGTCTATCTAGTCTGGTGTATACTTGTAATAGGCTCTGTAATAGACTCTATACAGGTCGATTGGATGAAGCCATGAGTGGTAAAGGCAACAAATCGGGCCGAGTGACATTTTATGAAGATTCAGACTACTGCGTTAAATCGAACGTTGCTTCAAGTAATTGTTATGTGATCTTTCGTAAGAAACCAGAAATATCCAAATAATAGAATTTTTCGTCAATTATGGAGTTGAAAGTGCTCTCAAATATTAAAGTGACCATGAATTAAAAGTATATGGAACGAGAAAATGAGTAGAATTATTATGACGGATGAAGAAAATTTATGAACAAATTTACATGCATTACATTTCATGACAGAATTAAGCAGGAATGGAACTCCGGGTATTGCCTACTTAAACAATCACCATCCCGCTAGGTTCATATGTGCTCTAAACACCCTACTTACAGTCAGCGGAGAACAAAAGGAGTGAAGGTTCCAGAATACGTACAGTCTCATCTTAGCCATCCTTATCCTCATCTCGTATATCCTTTCCAACCCCCAGCACAGCCAGCATCCGTAGCACTGAGTCACCCCAACAAAATACTCTGTGCATAGCGCTCAATACAGACAACATGTGCTGTCATTGGCTGGCATGCCCGAGTACCGCTTTCTCTAGACAAAGACGTAGTCGAGGAAATAAACCGCAACGTCCGACTGCGGCATCAGCCCGATCAACTCCATCAAGGTGAGCCAAACCATCACTCTGTATCTTCCGCTGTAGACAACCTTCTTGCCAATGCTCTTAGCGGAAATGCTGATCTCCATATGATCTTTGTCTTCCATCCGGTATTCATTGAGCCCGCATGCGTCGCAGCTGAGATTGAAGAACTCATCGAAAGAGTTTGTGAGGACTGCCGAGAAAGTCGCGGATAGAGGACCTTCTTTTCCTCGGAACATGACGGTGAAGATATGGGTAGATGACTGAAGCGGTAGGGTGGGGGATGGAACTACTGGGAAGCGTTTGAGCCGTGGGTTCGTGGGAGCATCCCCGTCTACTAAGACGAGATCCTGAGAAGTACCAGTGGAATCCTTTACAAGGTCTTCGGGGGATTCCGGACTATCATCGATAATAATTGGGTTGAGTCGGGCGCCACTGAGGAACTGATCAAGCTCAAAATATTTGAGCAACCCAGCCATAAAAACATTCTTCCTCGACAGACCAGAGTAAGACATGTAGACGATGTCTTTAAAAACTTGAGCGGGGTGAGGGGGAAGGTTGTCGTTCGTAATAGCTACCTACTTTGCGGGGGTTTGGAGATTCGGGATAGGATTAATGCTCGGAATATCATCCTCGTCCGTGTTAATTGAAGAAGAAGAGGGAGAAGGTGAAGGTGAAGGTGGAAGTGGGGGCGGAGGAGGAAGCGAAGGAGAAGGCGAAAGAGAAGAAGAAGAAGAAGGTGAAGAAGAAGGAGGAGGAGGGGGAGAAGTATAGCATTGATCCTCAGCGCAAATGGCTTTTTGAGCCTTCCTCGCCTCTCTGAATTTAAATTCAGCCTCCCTGATCACTCTTGAAACTGCTGCTCCACGCCTCTTCCGCTCAAGATCTCTCATATTATTAGGCATCTTGGTTGGAAGTGGGTAAGTACGTATGGATGAAGTCGAAGGATGAAGACGAAGGATGAAGATTTGGTGAAGGGGGAAGAAGGATGGAGAAGTGTGGGGGGATAAGGTGGAGGTTCGCAGGTTGGCATCCTCGTACTGCTTATTTTATTGAGTCGCCCTACCTAACTTGCCGAATCGTAATTACCATCTCCATGGGTGACTTTATCATTTGGGCCTAGAACTAATGGTTAATTAGTTGACGACGTTGTTAACATATTTCGTATTAGCATAAAGTCGGTTTTATATCCGCATGTTCGTGGTTGAACTCTTTTGATATCGCAATGATCACAGAGGCTATGGGTTATATACAGGAGAATGGCTTAGGTCCAACAATCAACAGTTGTATTCTCACTTCAACAATAAACATCTAAGATGATTCTAGATAGCCTTAATCTCAATTACAACTATATTCCACTTTATCTATGGTTTACCATCAACCTTATGAGCAATAAGTATTTGATTATTGGAGGCAGGGCTACTTTAGATAGAGAATATATCTATAGGGTATAAATAGACATAGATATAGGGTTCACTATTCAATGATATCAGCATATAAATCTACGGAAACTCTTGGAGAAGAGGCATTTCTAGTGTTTGGGCTCGAATGTAAACTCGAAATTTCCGTGTCATCTCCTGTAAACATTCGTGGTTGAACGTATTATCTTATAGAAAACGGCACGAACCCCCCTCTCGAGTCCTCCTACTCTCCTGATCTCCTGATTCACCGATTTCCTTACTTCACTCTATTTTTGGACGGGGGCCGGCGAAGCTACGGCTGGAATGGCATATTGTGGGTGGGGTTACTGTTAATTTCCATTTTTTTGGTAGTATTATCCTGTAGGGGCTAGTAGTACGTGTTACAGTTATGTGCACGATAGAGGTTAAGGGTGTCGTGGCGAAGATGTGGTATCAGACGGACGCTAATGGAAAGCCACATGTAGTAGAGCACATGTACATGTATTTAGGGAGATTCCCTCCGAACCTCCTATCCTGATAAGTGACAAGATATTCATAGTTGTCAAAGTCTTTTTACTTTTTTGCTGGGCTGCTAACTTAATGAGCCTCACAGATTACATCTCCGAGTAGTTTGTCGACGCCTGGTTCACCTTGATCTAATTGACCCAGACTACACTTCTTAAGTTTGACTACTAGACACTTTTTCTTTGGCTACTTTTTGGGGTTATAATTCTCCTTCGTTGTTCCTCCACTGCCCCTCAGCTGTAGTTTCTTTTTGCTTGATTGGGGAATCCTATAATTAGTCCGCTAATCGTCAGTCTTCTAATAGAGCTACTCGTGAAGCAATTCAGCTCACTTCCTCCCATACTCTGGGTTAACCCAGAGCGTCCACCCCGTAATATTTAAAGCTGGTAGAAATCTTAATATTCAAATGGCCTGTGGTCCAATTTAGGGATTGCACTTCTAAGGGTGCCAACCTGAAGATGGTAATTCGAGAATTAGTCGACTAAGTACGGAATCATCACAAATCACTCGATCATGAAGCTCACTCGATCATGAAGCTCACTCGATCATGAAGCTCACTCGATCATGAAGCTCACTCGATCATGAAGCTCACTCGATCATGAAGTTCATACATGTAGCTCATATATACATGCACCTCATCAGAGTCACTGGTCATAAAGATCACTCAGTCACGAGAATTACTCGGCATATATACATCAAAGCTAGCATCTTCTGCTCAAACCTCTGGATACACATCAAACCTTCTCTTCAATGGCACCTCCTTCCTCATCTTCTCCAACATCCCTAAATCTACTTCCGCCACACAAATCTCCGGCACCACCTCCCCCGCCGCTCTCGGCTCCTCCCCCACCTCAACCTTCCGGCACTGCGCCACAATCCTCCCCCACGGATCCACAATCATCGATTGCCCATAACTCGCCCTCCCCTCATTATGCCGCCCAATCTGCGCCGCCGCAACAACATACGCCTGCGTCTCTATCGCCCGCGCGCGCAACAGCACCTCCCAATGCGCCTGCCCCGTCGGTACCGTGAACGCCGACGGATACGTTACCACCTCAGCACCCATCCTCCGCAGCGCCAGAGAAGGCTCGGGGAACCGCAGGTCAAAGCACACCAGCAACCCGACCTTCCCCACCGGAGTTTGGGACGGCGGCGTCAAGGTGCTGCCAGGCTCCGTGGTCTTGCTCTCCTGCATCTGCGGGCCGCCGGCGATGGAGACGTCGAACGTGTGCACCTTCTGGTAGCGCTGCGTGATGTCGCCGTTGGCGTCTATCCAGATGCTCATGTTGCGGACCTTGTCTCCGCTGGTGGGGCAGGGCTCGTGGATGCCGACGTTGATAGGGAGAGCGAGCTTCTTAGCTTCGGCTTGCAGGCCGAGGACGAAGGGGGAGGTGGTGACGGGCTGGCAGAGTGAGAGGGATTCGGAGGGGGAGGTCGCGATATAGTCGGAGGCTTCAGGGAGGAAGAGGGCTGACGCGCCGCGGTCGCGGGCGAGGCGGAGGAGGTGCTGGCAGGCGGCGAGGTTGGCGGAGAGGGAGGAGGTGGCGCAGAACTGGCCGACGGCGGCGAGAGGCATTGCGGCGGCGAAGGAATATTGAGTTTGAGGTTTGGGGGTAGCTATGGAGATCAGGTAGGTCAAGTATGTAGCTATCGAGTGACGTTGGTTCGATCCCTGTAGTTGGGTTACTGGAAGGGGACAGTAGATTAGTAGTCCTGGCTGCATGCGGTTGGATTATTAGCAGAACCCGGTTCTGCCTAGTTGATTAATATATTAATAACACCGGCAATTTCTAGCTCATGGATCATTACTACGCCACATAAACCAGGACCCAGAACAACATATGCCTTGTGTTTGGTTTATAGGTTTTGAATCGCGCTCTAGATTTACCACACGGTACGCGGTCCGGACCCCTTAATATCGTTGAGTCTCCTTCCGCCGGCACAAAAGCAAAATCACGAAGACTGACTATTCGCGGTGCGGTGAACATGCTTATCTTTACACATTCTCGCTAGGCGATTGAGGACGGTAATCGGAGTGGTATCAAACGTGCGTTTACTCGGCAAGAGGTTAGCAGGATATCATTGACACCGCTTGTCTTGGTGTATATCCTGTATCTGCGATAGCAGATCGACCACCTCCCCTCCCCCCCCCCAAAAAAAATCCAACAATGGCGACGAGACATCCCTCCAGGCAATGCACAAACACAAACGGGCGACTTCATACTGGAGGAGCTGCCCGCACAGCTTTTAGCCACTGCCTGACCAACAGTACAGGAACCCGGACCTCCACCGCCCCACCCACCACTGGCTTCTTTACGGAGCCGACATAACGCTGGCGTTTTGTGAATTTCTTAGTCCCGAGATGCGGGCATATGTGTCTGGTTTTCCACATCAACTAGTCGGTCTACACAATGCTCGTTTGCGCATTGACTACTATCTACCTACCTAGAGCCTATCTTGTAATGAATATCTATGCGGTTAGAGTTCATCACGGAATATCACTCGTGCCAAGATTCACGATCAAAAGCTAGGTATTAACTATTGAGGGTACACGTATTAATGTGCACAGGGACAGGATAAAGAGTGGTCATTTCTATGTGTATTACCAGGGAGACTTCCTTTATCTAGCCCGTATACTAATGTCCTCTATTATATAGTGATCCACGGTCACTTAGCTTCTACTGTGTGCCTGCACAGTACCTATCCGCCAACCCAATGCCATCCACGCCAATACCAGAACCAGTCCTTCAGGAACTCCAAAAGACCACTCAAAAACCCAACCAGCGGGTGACCACTATGACTCACACTACCTCCCGTGCCGTTCGCGATGGCGCTAAAAACGCTAGCCAAACAAGTGAGTATAGTATAGTGGTTAGTATTCCTCGTTGTGGTCCCCTTTCAAGGGTCAAGTCCGAGGTGACGCAAGTTCGATTCCTGCTACTCACAACCACGTATGGCGGCCTTCGTTGGCTGTTCACTTTTTTCTTTTCATTTCATCGGGCGAGATGGGATGGATGAGTCACCACCTATAGTTGTGTTGATGACTAAGCGCATATCAGGCGTGGGCCCCAGTGGGGTTGTGGGTAGGTGGAAGGTTGGGGGGTTTAGTTGTGAATTCGTGGGCGCTGGAGAGTTTACACTGTTGGCGTTGAGCGCTGATGTGGGTGGTTTTGGCGGGGTGTGGTGTCGTTCCTAGAAGTCGATTGATCAGATATAAGGACACGAGCTGCGTCCTAGGCCGGAGCATCGTACCGCAGCCAGCTAGTTAGATGCTGTCCCTTTTCATAAGGGTGGACGAAGTATTGATTCGTCCCTCAATCTCCAGATCTCAGGAATTGGTCTGCTGTCGCGGTCACTTGCACTCCCGTATCTATCTTTGCAAAGGAAACTCCCATATATGGTGGGTTTGGCTCCGAGATGTCGAGGTGTCGGGGAGTCGTGTCCGGGGGAATAGATCGATGTTAATTCATGCGGAATCACTCGGGGTGGGGGTCTTGGCGTTTGCATGTGCCTCGATTTGCCACCTCCTGTTTCCGTTTCATGTTGCGTTTTTCGGGGGTTGGGCGAGGCGAGAGAAAATAGTCACTGTATAATCAGTTTGAGTTGAGGGAAACCGTCCTATGCTTCATTTGTTCCGGTAATAGCCTGTGATAAATAGTTAACAGCTCCCCTCATCAGCTTGGTGAGTGCTCTGGTGTGAGTATGGTGAGAGCGTGTACTCATTACGATCTCTTCGGTATGGTGTCATGATGGAGTCGATCACAAGTAAAATTCACGCCCTCCTTTGTTTATCCCACCCTCGCTTAGCACATACACTGCATTCCAGCTGCGAGCAACACGAACAACCCTGGTAAACTAAAGATAATAAGCATACCAAAAGTATATATAAAGTGGAGTGCTCTCCTTCTGTGTAAAGCGTTCAACTCTTTTCATCACTTACTCCGAGAGCACAATTTCCCCACCACGGATTCTGGGACCCTGTCAATGCAAGAATCCCTGAGGGTTATTTAGAGCGAGGGTTTAAGCGAAGCAAACTCTGTCCATACATACCGCGACCAGAGGAGAGATAAATACATACACACTTCTCTCAAAGGAACTGCCGTTTTGCGAGATAGGTTGAACCTTTTAAGCAGCTGCTCGTGGGAAATCTTTGACCTCCTCGCTACGGCTATCCCTGCATTTGCATTCAGGCAGTCAACCCTGTTGGTGTGGAGAAGTTAAAAACTCTGTCAAACACGGGTCCTTACTTGGCCCATGCGCGAAGAGATAAGTCGAGGTCAAGTCTCATATCCTATCCCCACCTCTCGACCCTCTCCATCGACTCCTACAAGATTTGAAACTTTCATCACAAGATAAATCGTAATCATGGCAACACCTTGGTTCACCATCTACGGAATTCCCGTCCTTCCACCTTATCAAGAGACGCCGTTGCTCTATAACTTCCAGGACAAGGCTCTGGAGCAGGTTGTGTACTCATTGTCGCAGGTACAGTGGTTGGGTGTCAACGAAGCCTCCGGATCAGAGAGGAAAGACAATGAGGTGCTGAGATGGCTGGGAGCCAGCGTGTTAAAAGGGTTGACGGGAATGTTAGTTATGAGCTTATTTCCTGATCTGGGTGCCGGTGGTTTAGAGGTGAGAAACAATTTCTTGTGCTTTCAAGTTGTGAATCGAAATCTGGCGACCACGCTTCCCCCGGATCTAGGCTCGGAACAAATCAGCTCACAACAATGAGTAGGACATGACTGCAGCCCTAACAACAACATCGTTTTACGCACACCTATCCAGAGTTCTCAGCCTCCATAGTCGTCTCACAGCTTTAAATTACACCTCCGATTCCGACGGGATCCTTGGTAAACTCTTCACAGCCTATATCGGCGGAATCCATCGTGAGCTCGGGACCCAGCGGTATCACGACCTCTACATCTGGTACTCACAGGTCGTTGCCCCATATGCGGAGAAATACCATACCCTATACCAGGAGCACATCTCCTCGACCGGTTCCACGATGAAAAAGCCCACATTCACTGTCAATACCCCAGGCCTTCTTGGCACGGCCACGCCAGCAGTATCCACTGACCCGCCAAAGCCTTCGTCCATTGAGGCAAAGCTGAGACGTCAGAATATCAGCATTTACACTTCGCGGTTGATGGAATTTGCGGCGAAGAGCAGGTTGTCGCAGCCGAGTTTTATGTTCAAGGATAATGGATACCAAGGAATGATGATCCAGTGGACTGTAACTGTGAGCTTGGATGGGAAAGATATTGCCACTGCCGTAGCGACAACAAAGCTGGAGGCGAAACACCTGGCAAGCAGGGAGGCACTGATTATCTTGAGAGCGCCGATCGGGCCGCTTCCGAGGAAGGAGAAGAAGGCGCAGGCGAGGAGAGTTAACGCTATGGTAGTGGGATAGTGTGGTGGTTTCTTGAACAAACGAGCGGGGTAGGGATCCGTTCTAATTACTTTGAGCTTTGAAATGAACTGAGACGGGTTGTAAGTTTTTATGGGTATCTCGATGTGGTGGATTTCCTATCCTTCGACTACCAGGATCTTCATCTATCTATTGCTGCTGGAATGGTTTTGTTCTTTGTTTTTCCTTACTTGCGCTGTTTTATATTGCAAAATCTGTTGAGAAGCCTCGTGAATCAAGTCATGTCATTCGGCTGGATGAGTGGTTCACGAGGCTTGTCTTTTGTTTACTTAGCTAGTTTTCCTTGCTTGATACTTTTTCTGTGCTTTTGAAAAATGGTTTGGAAGTAGAATTACATTCTATTCCCAGACCCTTAGTCTCGTTCTGGGCGTTCTGGGCGTAATTGTGCTGATTTCACTGCAACGACCCCCTCCTCCTACTAACCACGGTGAGTGACAATTCATGACCGTGAGATTAATTGCGGTGGTTATTCTGCACGTAAAGGGGGGGGGGGGGGGGGTGGGTTGCTGCGATGGTAGGGTAGGGGTCTTGATCAGTCAGTGTATGCAGGGGGATTACGTGGTGGGCGGGTGCGGGTGCGGGTAAGTGAGTGCGGTGTGCTCAGCTGACCATAAAAAACTACAGGGCTCGTAAACGGAGCTACGCGTCCGGTCTCTAAACATTTCCGCCGCATCCTTCCTTCTTTCGTAGGCTAATCTTTCTTCGGGTGGATCGTCTATATATGCTGTCCGTATAATTATGGGCAGCGGCAAGCATATATGGGCGGTCTGCTATATTTGCGGAGTGATCATTGGTCTTGGCTCACAACTCATCTTTAGAGACTTAGGCGGGAAATAATATAATAGAAGTCCGAAAACTCGACCTGGAGAATTGGGTTAGATAGTAGATAGGAGCCATATTTGTTCCTCCCCTAGCTAGCCTTGTGCCAAGATATCTCCAACGTCCCGAAGAAGTGAAAGAGCCGATGAGAACGAGAGGTTTACAATGTCAGATAGAATCATGATATATTTCCACCGTATTGTGCGGTTTCATATGGCTGGATGGTTAATGTGATGTGAGTGTAGTAATGTTTGGGCGTGCCCTCTCCAAGAAAAAAAATTCAAAAAACGAGTCATGAGTTGTGAAGAGAGTACACAAGAAGTGGCTAAAAAGCATTGTGTTGTTGCCCCCTCCACTACAACACATGCACACAACACACAACCCGTAATCCTTCCTCCATTCCCTCCTACCCATCCTCATCCTCGTCCTCTACCATCAACAGATCTTTTATTCTTCAGCTTCTATCGTGCTTAACTACATACTCTACAGGTTGATGATGTTCATGTCCGCTGCTGGCCGCTGCGTCTTTAGCTACGTTTCTCTCTGAGGTTATCCCGCTTTTGCGGGTTATAAGGGAAAGTTTAACATCAACACAAGCAAGCAGGTTTTGAGAAGACTTTATCAATCAGTAAATCTGAGCGTCACGGGGTCCAGAAACCCAGGATGTTGCCTTACCAGTAACGTTATCACCGAATAATTCAAAATGTAGTGGTGTTGATGGAATAGGATTTCTAGTAACAAGAGAAGTTAGTTAGTATCATGATACCTAGGGTGTCGGCTATCAACGATCGGCTATCTATCGATAGGGTGATATGGAGAGGACTGCGTAAAGATATTATGACTGGAATGGATCGCGAATATCATCACACGAGGAAATCTTCCCCCAAACCCTCACTCCCCCCTCAGAAAGGGCCAAAGAAAACCATTTATTTACGAAATATAGGAGCGATTAATTTCTTTAACAAGAGCTGCGTGGTAATTAACCATACCTCGTGGGATCGAAACTAATTGCTCTCCTATCCTGTGAGTGTTTGGTTCTATACTAGTAATGCCGGAAATTGTTATCGTTATGCAGATGCTCCTGGGTTATTTTCTGGTAAGAAATTTGCCGAGGGTGAGCCACATGATTGACCGTGGTTCTAGAATTGCTGGGAAAGAATGGGACGTCAAATCTAGATAAGAAGCGGGGAATTTAATCCTCTGTTTAAAGTTGGGACTGTTGAACAGGTGGAAGTCGGTTTTGATCTGATGATGTTTCTGCTCTAATGCATAGGTTGAGAGTCAAATAGCGCCGGTCTCACCAGGACAGTCCTAGACGAGAGAAGTTCCAGGAACATAACCTTCTTTACCACTGAAGTATCTTTTGGTCCAAATAATTTGTAGGCTCGGGCTGCAGGAGCATAGAGTCGCTAAGTTACTATTGGCTACAAACGGTCTTTAGAAGACAACTCGGAAGAGAACATCTGATGAAGATTGGTGGGGCCACTGGTTGAGAGGATAGCGGCAGCCAAATGAGTTTAGTGGTGTCATTTTTGGCCTGTGCGGTCCATCAGCAAGCTGGGATCGACATATATGGAATTTCTAGACGTTCCTTGAATCCGCCAGGGCTTTTTAGAGGATGTGGGGCTATCTAGGCCGATAAAAAGTTTGCGGATGTCCTCGACAAGTCATCTCCTTATGGAAATGGACACGGACGTACGTGCCAACCTTTTCAATCTACTTGAACCAAAACACGGCCCGATTTGCTTATAGCACTTGGCAAAATATATCTAAATATATATATAGTTGCCTACTTGTCGAAGAAGGATCGGATACGCCTGAGTTTGATGACGAGACTGACGATGCCATGGATATTTATGTGCTCTTAAAAGTCCACAAAGAAAGTCCTGATATAGACACCTCATCACGACAATGTGGTACGGATTCACATATATTCGGAAGAAGCTCATCCTAGGGCATTGATAAGACAGACCAATCGATGGTCAAAGTCAAGTATAAACCGGCCAATAATATTGGTGTGTGAAAGAGCAAGAGGAACGACGGGATTAACAATATCAGTGCTTACAATCACATCACAATCCCTGAATATATACTTGGGGTTTTGAGTGCCGTTGCGATAGGCAGCAAAAAGGAATATACCAGGTGGGTTTTGTGGTCAGCCGGCAATGGTCTGAGCCATCCTGCCCGGGCATATGATGGTAGCAGTGCTTTAGTGAGGTCATAATACCATACATCCACGGGTGTGATAAAGCACGAGCATTGTGGCTCGGGTTGCCGCTCGGATATCCAATTCTTTGGTTCGGTGTAGATGGCCTACTTTCATAGCTGTTTATCACTATATTGGAAGCTATCCATGGGACTATCGTTGGAAATCTTCGCATGTCTCCGAAATCCCTTTTCGGCAAAATTAACGCTAAAAATTGGTTTTCTTGCAGCTGTAACAGCTGCAAGGATCACTGGGCGTCGTCAATATATGTAAGGGGCAAACATACTAGGGCTGCCTAACCCCACAATTTTTATTTACTTGCAGACAGTCGCGTGCATGGCGCACTTGAGCTTGTTTACAACCTACAGATCTCCGTGACCGGATCGTTTGCCGGTCGTTAGACTATTCAAATAAAAGTCAAACTTTTATGATTTTCCCTATAATCACGGAGTTTACACCTCGTACACTAGAGTCGACGATAGTACCGTTAGAGATAAAATAATTAATGAATTAAACAAAAAACAAAAAAAAAATAGAGATAAAATACTATACTAAGTTTCCTAAAAGTCTATCGACATCGTACCACCAAAATCACTTACAAAATGTTCAAGCCAAATACGGTGCCTTGTAGTATGAAGAAATATCACCCCGCTCGCAATTAACAGGGGCGAGAATTCTGATCTACAGAAAATCTTACTGAAAAGTACCACTGGAGTATGTACATTTGTACATACTTGCTCACTTAATCGACTAATATCTCCATACTCACCATTCCCATTGCAATCATCACCTCCGCAATAACGCACGTTGCACAAATATTAGGCTATGGACGTTAACCTGACACAACAAAACGGCTGAATGTACCGAATTTAGTGTTGAGCTCTCGGCATGCAACCCGGAACCCTGCTTTGCGGCAGTCTTCCCGCCGGAGCAGCGGAGCCCACCACTGGTTCACCAACTACATCTGAGAAGTAGATTAATTCGTAAGCCAAGACCAATGATATTCCAGGGGCCGTCGCGTCTTCTTTTCCTGTTCTATTCGTTAATTACCCCAGGATTCAGGAACTTAAAGAGAAACTTAGGGATGCTTGTTAAGATCAATAGTACCGTGGATTTATTTTTCCGCCGCCACCTTCTCGGAGAGAAAATTAGAGAGGACGTTCGAGAAGAAGGAGAAGAAGACTGGACGGCGTAGCCCGTTGCAGGGATGAAGAACATCCATCTATTCATCCCACTAGGCTTGCTTGTCAGGCTTCAGACACCCCCGAGATGGCAAGCTCCGAGGCTTGTGCCTTGCGGATTCGTCTCTCTTCCTGGTTTTTCGGAATGGCGAGTCGTGATTCCGGAATATCTTCAAGGGGTTCAGAATCTTGGTGGATTATAGAGTAAAGAGTATTATAGATGAAGTATATGATCAATAAAAACCCTGGACTGTCAATCAAGACAGAATAGACTAATTCTAATTCTCTATAGGAGAATTCTCTTTGAGAGTTTGATGTTTCATGAATTACGACAGCAATTGAGGGGCGAAAATGACTATAAATACCGTATCATCTCCTCCGAGAATTGAAGCTCATCAACATCATCGCATTCATTCTTTACACTCCTTCATCATGAAGTTCCTCGCCGTCCTCAGCTCGCTGCTTCTCACCAGCGCCCTTGCCGCACCAACTGCTTCACCCGCTGCCTCCAGTGACGTCGAGAAGCGTGCTACCTTCACGTAATACTCCGTTAAATTCAGTTTAATATCCTAAATACTAACAATATCTAGTGCCTTCTCGGGAACCAATGCATACTGGCTCCCATTCCTCAGCAGCGACACCGATGTTGATACCACCTTCGCAGCCATCAAGGCCGCCGGCTTGACCCATCTCCGCACATGGGCTTTTCAGGACTCGACTTCATGCTCTGGAATCTACTTCCAATGCTGGAGCGGTAGCACCGCTACCATCAACACTGGGAGCAACGGGTTGGCCCGCCTCGACGCCGTTGTGAAGGCCGCCGAGAAGTATGGCATCAAGTTGATCTTGCCATTGGGTATGCCTTCTACCCCTATCTCTACTTCAGAAAGGTTCTAACATTCAGGCCAGTCAACAACTGGGGCGACTACGGTGGTATGGACGTCTACGTCAACGCTCTCGCCAGCGGCTCTGGCCACTCCGCCTTCTACACCAACAGCGCCATCCAGACCGCCTATAAGAACTACGTCTCGACCATCGTCAATCGCTACAAGTCCTCCTCCGCCATCTTCTCCTGGCAGCTCGCTAACGAGCCCCGCTGCACGGGGTGTGCCACCTCCGTCATCACCACATGGGCTACCACAATGTCCGCCTACATCAAGTCGCTTGACTCCTCTCACTACGTCTCTCTCGGTGACGAGGGGTTTTTCGCCCGCACCAACGGTGCCTCATACCCCTACCAGGGCGGCGAGGGTGTCGACTTCGAGGCGAACTTGAAGATTTCTACCCTTGACTACGGCACTGTGCATCTGTACACCACATCCTGGGGACAGACCTACGACTGGGGTAACCAGTGGATTTCTGACCACGGCACAGCCTGTGCATCGGCTGGAAAGGCGTGTGTGATTGAGGAGTACGGTGTGCCAGTTGATGGATCAACCAGGACTACATACATCAACCAGTGGCATGCGACCATGAAGTCCAGCGGTGTCTCGGATATGTTCTGGCAATTTGGACTGACCTTGTCGAGCGGGCAGACGTCCGATGATACTGTAAGTCATTTCTTGCTTCGTTACTCAGCAGATTTTGAGTATGGCTAATTGGACGGCGTAACTAGTACACCATCTTCACCACCGACGACAACTACCAAGAGCTCGTCGTCGACTGGGCCAACTCCCGTTAAGTCTCCACTGTGGGTTCCTTGAACCCTTCAGGAAAGGGATAAGGGAGAAAAAAAAGTTTTGGTGGAAGGTGGAGCGAGTTCTCCAACCGTGTATGAGTAAAGTTTTCCTCTTTTTTAAGGGGGAAACTGTTTTGTAAGATGATCTGTAGAAAGAAAACGATTAGCTAGTTGTCTGGCTACTATGTACTCTAGAAAATATCAAATATATATGGCAATAGCTACGAAAGTATAGTTTCGCAGATGACGTTGGATCATATGAACTGTGCAAACGCTGGTCCGATTTGAAATCGGACTGGACCAGTTTGCAACCGTCAATGATTGCCAAACGTCAATGATCGATTTCACCATATTTCGCAACTTAATATGGTATTACGATGCACGGAATGATTGATGATTGATTGATTGATTGATATCTGAGATATATATATACATAATCCCGTGGCAATAATATAGAGAATAAATAAGATTATGGCAAGAGACGTAAAATGAAAATAAAATAAGGAAAGACATCATTTCCACCATCCCACCCATGCAAGCCAATAAACCATGATCGTAACCAAAATCGCATATCGAAAACTCCATACATAGCATCATCATATACTTCCTTCCCATATCCTCGTAACCTATTCATACCCACATTATAAATCCCCCAAAACGCAAGGAAAGACGTAACATAAAATAAAGGGGTATCGCATAAACCCCAGCACCCGCACGCAAAAAATCAAAACTTAAACGAAATGTGGCCAGTACCCGCCATCCGTATCTCTCGTCGTCACATACGTCTTCCTCGGTACATCCCTCATACTTATAAATGCTTCCACCAACAGGAAGACTGTGCACAGCAGATAGACAAAGATCAAGATCCAGAAGATCTCAAACAGGATCCTCTCCAACCAGTACAGCGGCCAACTCATCATTCTTTTCATCGGCCCGTGATTCTGCGCAAGCTTCTTCTGCTGCCAGTTCCGGGTGATGTCGCCTCTCCCGGCATGGATTCGGAGAAACATCATACGAAGTACGCTCTGGTCGTAGAACCGCGTCTCCCACATTGCGCGAAGGAACCGCTTGTCGTAGTTTGTGGCGGCTACCATACAAGTAAAGATAACGGAGGTGACAACGATGGCGATACATGCGGCGCGCCATAGCCAGGCTTCGGTTTCGGTGGGAAAGTGGATGGGCCATGCTGGGATATGCATCGCGCCGTTGGAGGCGAGCATGATTCCGATAATAAACATATCCCGCGCGCTCTTGTGCAAGTTGTCATCGTCGACTCCTTCTGCATATTCGCCGCCATTGTTTCCAGGAGTACCTGCACGGGCTTCACCCCCACCCGCACGTTCGCCTGCACCCTCACTCTCACGTTGGCCTGCGCCCTCGCCCCCACGTTCGCCTGCATATCCGCCCTCGCCCTCGCGTCCACCATCACGTCCGGCCTCCTGCCCGCCCATAACGCCACCGGAGGCTGCGGCTCTGCCTTTGCCTTTTTCACTGTACTTGCCTTTGTAGAGCCAGCCGTGACTTTTGTCGCGGATGACGATGTATTCGCTGACATCATATACAACTTTGAGTAGCAAGTTTGGAAGTCCTGAGCGGGCTCGTTCGGTCATCTGGTAAGATCTTGAGAACATATTGTATTGTCTGCTCTCTTCGAATTCCGGTGCTTCCTCGATAGGCGGACCTTCCGGAACAAGCGCACTTGTATCATGAGGCGAGTCTGGTGGGCCCATAGCAATTGTCCTCGGCTCGTTACTGCCTAGAGATGCTTGATCCCCTTGTCGCGGATATAAAATGATTGGCAAAGGCTCGGCCACACTGAGAGGTTTCTGCCACCAGAAGTAGTAAAGTACGAACATAAACAAGACTTGCGTTATGATATGAACCTCGAGAATAGTGATTGGCAGCCCCGCAGACCCGCGCCTAATACACTGATAAAGAAACCATGTAGCTTGGCAGAGGACCAAGGCCTTAGCCATGGAGCTTGCCTTGCCTTTATCGGTGATTTGACGTCTATCGAAAGATTGTGGGTCAATCCGTCCAGAGCGGACATAATGCTCGAAGCCTAGAGGCGTCAAGACGGTCTTGTAATCCTTCCCTTCCTTCACAAGGAAGCCTCCCGCCAACACAAAGAATGCACCTTCCATCCCGAGAGAATCCGGACACTCCTTTGTTACTGGAAATCTCTCAATCCACATGGCATGAAGCCTTCTCGCTTTGCGCCACTGGCCGAAAGAGCACAGCATCATAATCTCAGGGAAAAGCAGAGAAAGTGCCATCCAGGATAGGCTATACTTTGTTTGAGCAACAGGATTCGAGTTGGCGAGAATGTTGGGATGTACTGAAATCCATAGACAGAGGAGAGTTGTGGCAACGGAGCTCAATATCACACCGACAGTACCACGCCCTTGGGGTTCTGGCTGGAATCCACCACTAAATTCAGCTGGAACTGTAGGTGAAGGCGACGGACATTCCGCGGCGTCACTACCAGGAGGTGTGCTTGGGTCGGCGGCCAAAGAACGACTTGGTGCACTGGTTGGTGTAATAGTTATAAAAGCAGTGATACTATTCGTGAGTGTACTTGCTGGAATTGAGGTACTCTCCGTAAGTGTTATGAAACTTGTGATTGTCGCGCTTTCTGTTACAGTAACACTCAATATTGGGACGCTATCGGTGACTGTTTCTGTAACAATTGTTGTATATGTTTGCATTGTACTCTCTGTTGCTGTTACACTATCCGTAGCTGTAATACTGTCTGTCGCTGTGATAGTGGTGGCTTCGGTGATCACCATACTTTGTAAGAGCACTGTGCTATCAGTGATAATGGTACTGTCTGTGACCATTGTGCTATCGGTAATCATCGTACTGCCTGTGACCATCGTACTATCTATGACCATTGTACTCTCAGTGACCATCGTGCTCTCAGTGACTACCGTGCTCTCAATGATGATTGTACTATCGGTGAGCATGGTGCTATCGGTGACCATCGTGCTATCCGTGATCATTGTACTGTATGTGACGAACGCACTATCGGTGACAACGGTACTATCTGTGACCATCGTGCTCTCGGTGACCATTGTACTGTCTGTGACCGTTACACTGTCCGTGAGTGTTACGCTGTCCGTGAGCGTTACGCTGTCCGTGAGCGTTACGCTGTCCGTGAGCGTTACGCTGTCCGTGAGCGTTATACTATCTGTGACCGTGGTACTATCCGTGACCATTGTGCTATCCGAAATTATTATGATGTTCGTTATCGCTGTACTATCGGTAAGGGTTATGCTGTCTGTGACTGTGACACTATCCGTGATCATCGTGCTATCGGTGATTGTGGTGCCGTTGATAATCAGGGTGCTGTCTGTGATTGTGGTGCCATCGGTGATCATGATACTGTCTGTGATTGTGGTGCCATCGGTGATTGTAGTACTGTCTGTGATTGTAGTGCCATCGGTGATTGTGGTGCTGTCTATGATTATTGTACTATATGTGACCATGGTGCTATATGTTACGTAGACCCTAAAGATGTCCGTAATGCTGTTTGTCACTGTGACAGTGACGCTATCAGTCTCTGTAACTACTGTTGTACGTGTGATAAGAATGTTATCAATAGCAGTAATAGTTGTGATATCCGTTACAGAAACAGTATCGGTGTCTGTCACATAACTGTTATGAACATCTGTGCGTGTGACATTATAGGTATCAGTCACTATGGTGCCATCCGTAGCCGTGGTCTCGCATGTTTCAGTAGTCGATGTAGTGGTGCAGTCCTCGCTATAGCTCTCAATTGGTACATAGTATTTACTCGTGATGTCGTAGATCCCCTTAGAACTTTTTGGGAATGCGATAGCTGGGGATGGTGTGTCAATTTGGGCCGATAGACTGCTGATGTACGAGGACACGATATAAGCTGATGCAGACTCCTCGCCCGAAATTGATCCTGTGATCACCGCAGGGATATCTATGCTCGTAGGTGCAGTGTAATCCTTGCTTGAGATATCAATGAAGACACTCGTTATCAGAGTGCTGTCGGTGAATGCAATCTCATTCGTTATTGTAGTACTGTTCTCGCTCAAAAAGTCGCTTGCCGCTGCAGGACTCTCGAAGGGAAGTGAAATGTCACTCGTGATGAAACCCTCGCTTAATGGGTCGCTCGTGATAATCGGATAATCGGACTTTGGGAAGGGATTCTTTGCCAGAGGTATAGAGAGTACCGGGATCGCCGAGAGCGCAAAGTATATGAAGGTAGACAGCCCCCCGGACACAGCATGTTGTAACATCTAGAAAACTTAATGTCAGGTATAATCCCCCAGAAATCGTTTAAGAGACTTCCAAACCTAATGTTACCGAGGCGACGGCCTTGGGTTGCAAGGTTTCGCAAGGTATATCCTGTACACAACTTTAAAACCTTAACTCTTTCACTGAAATGATTATATTATCATACCACCAGAGCCTCAAATCAAGCTTTAACCAAAAATCTCTGACTGAAGAAATATGTAACTCGAACTTTGACACACGCTAGCTGTATCAAGAACAAAATGTTTGTTAGCTTCATCGGGGCGAATGAGTGACATTTTGATGAACGTACCTCAATTCCTAAATCTCAAGTACATAGTTGCTGACGCCCCTCGAATCTCTCATACTTTTGCAGGAACCTCCAGTTCTTAAGAGCCAGCACTCTCACATATGAGCATTGAATGACCTCCATCCTGCACAGCGCGGCTATTCACTGTCCAATCGGTACATCCGCCGTCAGTGTTGTTTGGATAGGGTAGAAGTATGCCAGCAATTTTTGCTCTTCTCCTCCTTCCCGTGTTCCACCTCACCTTTCTTTTGTTGATAGCTGGATTTGAAAGGTATCGCGAAGCTGACCAATTAGTAGATACTATGGATCGAAATCACCCCCTGTTCATCTGCTTTGGGAACGAAGCTGAACAAAGTGCCCTAGACGGCTGCCTGAGATGCAGGGCAACTGAGACTGATTTTGAATTGCCGGATTGATCGATTGGGTTCCAGTGTGAGACCTAGATAAGTCAACATTATTATAGTACGTATCTTTCTATATATTGAAGGGCCCTACCCTGGTCCTGAACTTGAACACAGCTGCACTTGTGAAATTTCTCTGTTACCACTCACTCGAATGGAGGACTTCCCGTAAGCGACAGAAGCTGTTCTACCCTATTTGTTGTTCTCGTCGCTGCAGTTGCAAAGGATAGGTCTATCGTTAATTAGAACCCACTCTGAGGTCGTTTGGTGAGGTTCCTACTTTCTTTTTGTGCTCGTTGCAACGAATCCAACCTCTTTCCGCAACCAGACTAGCGACTAAATGGAACAGCGTTTTTAGTTATCGAATAGACGCCAAGCAGACGTATCACAACATCAGCCTAACCCAAACAACTAAAAAAAAGTAAGACTGCGCGCGCGTCGTCCAACAGCATCCATCATGCGCAGATTAATCGACTGGACGGCGATGAGTGCTTAATCGACCGATCAAAGAAAAAAAAGTGACGGATCATTTATGGCTTCGGATCATGTATCTCTCCCCCGCTATTGCCGGCTCATGGCTGGACGGAACTGTACGGGCTGTACCTACAAAAGAGAGGACGTCGTATTAAGATATAGCTCAATCCGGTATTGTCCCCGTTCAAACTCTCCCGAAAGGGCATTTTTTATTTTTTTTGAGGATGGGAATGGTCCATTTGACTGATCAAGAAATGGTATTCCGGGGATCTGCTCTTTCCCTCACATCCAAGATCTCCATAGCACATGCATGCGCCTTGTGCATTTTTAAACTCGCAAACATGTAATCCATGAGAGTCCACCATGCAAAACGAGTATGGTGCGCACACTCTTAAAGGTGACACGGCGATATCTGGAAGTGGAACAATCGTGGCTGCAAGGTGAACTTCAAGGCCAATGAGAGGGCTTATTCCTAGCCACTATGCTGCATTCCTGCCGCAATTCACTTTTGAGGGGGGTATAAATGGGTATAATACTGTTCCACTTTGCTCAGTCTTGGCGCCTTTTACATACAAAAATCCGCAACTTCAAACTCTTATAACTTTTTAACTAAAGTAGATATCAAAAATCTGGAAATAAAAACTAAAGTTCATCACTAGTACTACACTTTTTATTTACCGATTTTTTTTTAATTTTTTTTTGGCAAAGTTATAAGCCCTTGACTTTTCGCCCGATTTTCGTCACCTTTAACAGAGGGCGCACCATATATCCAATTCGCTGATCGACTTCCTGCAAAACCCATCTCTCTAGATTGTAGCCACAGTGGCCAAGCCTACTCGCGCGAGTGGTCTGGCAGCCAATAAGAGCTCACGTTTTTGCACTATTCAGATCAATTACCTTTTTTGTCTGAGCGGCTTCAATCCGGCAGCGCGAGTATAGTCGACTGGTCTTTAGGCTCGGGCTCTGAGGCATCTAGGATATCAGGCGTTGGTTGGCCCTAAAGCAGGACCCTGGGTTGGATACTTCACGATCACTTTTTCAGACTAAAATAAGCATTTGTTAGCGGTGCAGGTCTCTCCTTGTCAACGCCATTTAGTTTGAGTCCGGAATCACGATCCTTTATCTATGGCCTGCCAATGCCACAAACGTCCTTTTGTATAAAGAGGCAAGTACCCCTGCACTTAAGGCGTTCTTCGGAAGAAAGTAACAAGTGCTAGGATTGCGGTCTGTACCATAGCCAGTGTGCCTTACTAGTGCTTTACTTACTTTGACATGCCGGATCTCTTACCGTTTCGTACAGGTTTGCGGGCTGATATGTTATGCTTCTTTTCTTCACCAAAATTTATTTGCTGTCTTGTCTATGTTATCTTTTGAAGGGCTGTGCTCATAGAATACGCTTACGATAATAAGGTGCGACTATACGCATCATCGGTAATTAGAAAGATTACATGTACTTGAGTGTTACCGGCGTGCAAGAAGAGTTTGGTAAGAAGCTTTGTTGTCCCTGCATCGTTTCCTTGAGTACTAGCTAGTTACAGTGAAGATCGGGGGCACAGAAAAAACAAAAAAAAGCAGAGGATAAGGGCTTAATGCACCTATCCACATCTGTAGCCACACGTTCAGGTACTTTATGTACTTAGGCAAAGAGCTCTTGAATTTAAAATCTCGGGCCGAAGAGTGGGGTGGGTGACCACGCAGAAAGATTGGTACATGCCCACAAAGTCTCATCTATGGCTGCCAACTTATATTACAAGGTCGTGACGGAGACGAAAAATCTAGGGTTTGTGGTCTCAATAGATTGCAAATTGAGGTCCTGGAATATAGGAAGTGGAGTAAAGTTTGTTGTTTCCATAGCCTATCAAAGAGTTGTATTGAGATAGGTTGCTTGTCATAGGGTCAGCTGAGTATTTGATAAGTCACCTAGAGGCACAGTCTGTATAAAGCTTGGTGCTGATTGCTACTCTACTACTATTCGGCGACCACATTCCTGCAATAATCACTACCCGCGTACCAGGATTAGCACGCTCCTGTTGGCGCAAACACCGAGCGGCCCGGGGTAGTGTAAATCACGAAAATCATTTTTCTTTTCCTTTATTCACGAATCTGAATGTACATATGTATGTACCTAAAATGTTCTGGGTTGGTTGCAGGATGATCTGACAGGAGATGACAGGTTGAGGCACCAGCCACACGACCAAGCAATATCAAAGCCATATATCCTTGGAGTATATATACCAGCCTCCCAACCAATCTTGCTTAACAATCTCTATTGCTTTTCTCTGGTTTCGTGTGCGCAGGAGTTGGAAGATCGATATATCATATAAGAGTACGCGCGTCGACTGAGCATGAGTCCTCCGGCTGATCAGCATTCAGAGATTATCGGGATCGGAGGACTACATTGGTCCGGGGCTCCGAAGTGTACCAGGCGATGATGAGGAGTAAAATCCATACGCGGCCTCAGTAGCTAATTCATTACTCAAAATCTTGCCTGATGTGTTGGCTAAGCTATTATTGGGATAGCCTTTCGTCACACAAATTGACAAACTGAGGAAAAGCATGTTAGCCACTGTCCAGGTTTTACAGTCAGATTGGGGGCATTCAAGTAACGAGCATCATGGGCCAGTCCACGGATCACATCGGAGCCGGCTCAAGACGAGCCGAGATTCGAACTGTTGGGAGGAGGATTTTGAGCAACCAAGGAAGAGTTAAACTGCCTTGGACGCTGAATGCAATTGCAATGCCAAGACATGAAACATTGAAAGATAGCGGAGAGCGTTCCGGCTGGCAGAAACCTCAGGGTGCATGTTAGTGAGAGGCGTTCCGACCCCAATGTACCTCATATCTCCAGGGCTGAGTTGAAGGATTAGATGTAGTACATGTATGCTGCTCTAAGAAGAGAAGACGGTTCTATTGGTGAGATGATATAGATTTTAGGCATGGAGCTGGTCCGAGCCTCCACAGCACCTACGTACTCACTACATCACACAGGCAGGGGTTAGTGCTAACACACCTGACTATGCCAAGATTTATACCGTGAACGTGCATTCGAGTGACGTCGCATGATCATGATGAAGTGACGAAAGACTCCGAAGGGTGAGTCGCATTCACACTCTTTCTCGTTGGAGATGGTCCTCGACTACATGTATTCTACCAACACTTTCTGGAAAGCAACTGGTCCACCTGTCGCTAAAGAAATATACGGATGGCACATCGTCAATATCAGCGGATGCAGGTAGTTATTCCGATCGTCTCAATCGGTATCTTGTCTCTTGGTGGCAGGGGAGAACAGCATTTGAACTGAAATTTACGGCTAGCTGGAGTTGGGCTTACCGACTGACATGCTTAAGTGCCATCTCAACCAAAAGGCCACGGTGCTTTGAGTCGGTTTTGCTGGCTAATTGGCTCGCTTCTCCATAATTTTGGATACTGGTAACGAAAAAAGAGTCTATCTCGTCAATCTTGGAGCAATTTTGGGTAGCGTTCTGTTGGGTGGGGGGCATCTCATGTCCAATGTCAACTTTGCAAGATGAAATAATGGCACTATGTGGATACTTGTCCACAGGGTACAAGGTATACTCGAGAAATAAAGTTATCCTCGCATTCGCAAGCCTTAGAAGATGACATACATAAACAAAACCATAGATCCACACCAGTTCATCAATTTCATCAACACAAAGCCTCAAACCCCCTCGCAGCCTCAAACCCCCTCGCAGCCTCCACCTCCACCTCCACCTCCACCTCCACCTCCACCCGACACCCACATCCACATCCACAAACTACAATCCTCAACACCACAATATTAAGCCACACACCTAGTAGG